TACATGTGGATGGCTTAGCAGAGTCGGGGTATAAGAACATTCAATAAAGCTGCGTGTGGGGGTGCACGCCTGGAATCCCAGCACTCAGGAAGCTGAGGCAGGAGGATCACTGCAAGTTCGAGGCCACCCTGCGCTACATAGCGAGACTCTGTCTCAAAGAACAAAACAAAACAAAATGAGACTATTAAACAGTCAAAACCACTTTGCCAAGAGAGGTCGCACAACTTCAACATCGAAAGACACATTCTGGACCCAGTGGCCACATTCCTGGCCTCCAATCAGCTGTTTGTTCTAATGGTGGGAGAAACATTTCAAATTAAGGATCAGTGAGAACTGGAGACAAACACGGGCCAGTGACTGCAAGCTGGGGACAAATAGGGACAGGGACAGTGACCGGGAGAGGTGCAAGTTGAAGAGGGAGGATGTAAATGTGGATGCAGTCTGTAGAGGGTGGCCTGGATGAGGAACCTGAAGGCTGGGTCGGACTCATGGGGAAGGGCAGGTCCCCAGGAGGTACAGCAGCAGTGGGTGGAAAGGCAGCCCCAGGAGTTAAAACGACAGGGCCCAGCACACGTCCATACCTGGGCCGGGTGTGCCTGGGCTCCGGGGTCCAGCGCCAGCACCAGAAGTAAGTCAGACAATTTCGTGGTTTCTGTTTTTGTCTTTTTGGGACTGGGTTTCGCTATGCAGTTCAGGCTGGCCTTGAACTCACTTTGTAGCCCAGGGTGGCCTCAAACTCCCAGCGATCCTCCTGCCTCAGCCTCCTGAGTGCTGGGATCATGGGTGTGCAGCACCACCTGGCCCCTTTGGTGGTTTCTTTCCAAGTCTGGTGTAAATGTCAGGATGCTGATGTTCACACTTCTGTTTCTAGAGAATTTGCCTAATGTACATCCGCACCAGCACTTCCCATGGGTGTCTGCCTTGGACGAGACCTCAGTGGGGTTCTTACTGAACAGCTGAAGTGATCCAGGTTTGGGCTGGGGATGCAGCTCAGTGGTAGAGCACTTGACTAGCATGCACAAGGCCCTGGGTTCCAACCCCAGTATCAGGAAAGAAAAAACAAAACAGCTGGGTGTGTGATAGCACACACCTGGAATCTCAGCACTCTGGAGGCTGATGCAGGAGGGTTGCCATGAGTTCAAGATCAGCCTGGACTACATAGTGAGACCCTGTCCCAAAAATGTAGGCTTTCTCTTTCTGGTATTGGGAATTGAACTCAGGTCCTTGTGCTTTGAGGCAGGCAGCAGAACCACTGAGCTAAATCCCCGGCCCCAAAAATGGAGGCTTTTTTTGCTCACTTGACCTCACCTTCATGCTCTGATTCGGTCTTGTGTAAGCACTGCTCTGTCTTCCACCTCCTGAAGGCTCACGTGATGCCTGATTCCCATTGTGCCTGCTGCATGGACTGAAGTTCAGCCCACATGCATGTGCACCCACCCATTCTTAGACTGAATCATACAGCTAGTTCTTTGTAGCATCTCCACTGCTTAGACTTCCTCACCTCATGTTTTAGTCAAGACTAACCTACTCTTTAATCCTTTTTTTGCGGGGGAGGCAGACCTGGAGATTGAGCCCAGGGCACTAGGCAAACTACCACTGAGCTACATCCCTAGCCAGTTAATCTTCCCTAGGGACCACTCTCTTATGTGGTCATTATGTGATCCTCCTGCCTCAGCCTCCCAGAGTGCTGGGATTACAAGTGTGGGCCATCACTCCCAGCTGTTTTGTTTTGTTTGTTTTTTTTAATTAAAAGGTTTTCCATCCACTATTAGGCAAATTCTTAAACTTTGTCAGCCCGTTTTCTCATCCTTTTCTTTTTTTTTTTTTTGGTACTGGGGATTGAACTCGGGTCCTTGCGCTTGCGCAGCAGGCGGCGAAACCACTGAGCTAAATCCCTGGCCCCCGTTTTCTCATCCTTAATATGGGAATAATATGCCTTGTATTGTGGCTCATGACTGTAATCCCAGCCCTCAGGAGGCTGAGGCAGGAGGACTGCTGTGTGTTTGAAGCCAGTCTGGGCCACATAGTGAGTTCAAGGCCAGCCAGAACTACATAGTAAAACCCTGTCTCAACCCTTCCTCTCCAAAACATGGGAATAACTGAATCTAAGAGCTGTTTGTGCTAAACAAAATCACACATGCACTCTGCATGGATTTTCACATTTCTGATCTTATGTGCTGTGTAATTTCGTGTGCAGCTACTCTTCAGGTTCCATTTCTTTCCTTTGCAAAATGTGGCAAAGGAGAAAGAATTTTGCAGTGCCCCTGCCCAGCCTGGGGCAGTACCTTCTCACCTGGTTACACTCCCCCAGGCCCATCCCAATCTCTAGGCTTCTGCTTTGTCACTGCTCGGGGTGCAGGTGAGCACGTTCTGCTGGCTGGGGCTGTGCCCGAGGGGATGGTCATGCACGCACTGCTCCGGTTTAGAGCTGCGCAGCAGGGAGACAAACAAATTACAGACTGTTAATGACTCAGACAGGTGGTTCTGAGGAGCGGTTTGCTTGCAAAGGCCCAAAATATCACAGTTCCCTTGAAGGTGCACCTCTGGGGTGGAGATGGGTGACCGAATAAGCTTGTCCCCGCCTGATTAAGGTTTCCCAACCTGGGCTGGGGATGTGGCTCAGTGGTAGAGCATTCTCTTAGTCCGAGCAATACCCTGGGTTCAATCCCAGGCATGCATGCTTACTCTCTCTTGCCTTTGGTTAGCCAGCAACTTTGTTCTTTTAGGTTTTTTTTTTGGTACTGGGGATTGAACTCGGGACCTTGCGCTTTGGAGGCAGGTGCTGGAACCACTGAGCTAAATCCCCGGCCCTGTTCTTTTAGGGTTTTCAGACAAGAGTCTGGGTGTCTAGCTCAGGCTGGCCTTGAACTAATGGCAATTCTCCTGCCTCAGCCTTCCTGAGTGCTGGGATCACAGGGGTGCACCACCACACCCGCCTAGCAGGCAACTTGTTTTTTTGTACTGGGGATTGAACTCAGGACCTTTCGATTGTGAGGCAGGTGCAGTGCCACTGAGCTAAATCCCTGGTCCAACAAGCAACTTTAAAAAATTTTTTATTTTAACAAGCAATTTTTTGACAATTTAGATCTCCATATAATTTTTTTCTTTCTGCACTGGAGGGGAATTAAACCCTGGACCTTTGCACTGAGCTACATCCACCACCCCTCTCCACCCCCTGCCTACAGCTATTGTTACTTATTTTTAAACGGAATTAAATTTTGAGACAGTTCTCGAAATGCAGTTCAGACTGGCCTTGAATTTGCAGCGACCCTCCTGCCTCAGCCTCTGGGGTCTGGGATTACAGGTGTGCACTGCCACGCTCGGCTCCACCTTATAATGACTGCTCTAACGAATCTTTACCCCTTTCCTGTTTCAGCGGTCTACGCTACCTGCTTTTCCTCCCTTTTGCTCTCAGCCCTCTCCCGTCCATCCTTCCTAGTTTACAACCCACTCGTCTCCAATTTCAACCTGTGACTTGTCCCGTTCAACCAAAGGCTGCGGAATAGTCACACTAAATCTAGGTTCTTTAAACCGGAAATTTTCTTCTTGGCCCTGTCTGTCCTTTGTGTGCCTGAAACCCTTCTCCACACACTGTAGTGTGAATAACCCAAACCTCCCTACCATTTTCCTTTCATGCAAGTTGGCCCCCCTTCCACTTGTCTCAATCTTTTCCTGTTTCTCCCTAACACACCGGTCTTTTTTGCAGGAGGATGACTGGGAATTGGACTCAGTAGTGTTCTGCCACTGAGCTGCATCTTCACCCCGCCCCCTTTGAGACAGAGTCTGGCTCAATTGCTCCAGCCGACCTCTAATTTGTGATCCTCCTGTCTCAGCTTCCTAAATAGCTGAGATCTTATGTGTGAGCCCCCACTTCCAGCACTAAATAAAGTCTTCTGATGGCAAAGCTGCGGCTTATTCATCTGTTTATCCCACCTCTTGGTCGTGTTTGCTGAATTAACAGCACTAGCCCAAACGTGTGTGGATCGTTTCTATGCGTGTACCAGAACTTTCACTCTTTGGTGTTAACAATGAAAATGAATTTGGATCCAGTGCCTACTACATAACAGAGATACCTATTAACTCATTAAGTCTTCACAACACCTATGAGGTAGACACAAACTTTAACCAAGAGCTCACAGGTGAGAGACACTGAGACCCGGAGAGCGTAACCAGCTCAAGGTGACACGGCTAATCGTGCAGCCAGGAACTTATCAGGGAGTCGGTCTGGCCCTAGGGGCTCATGGGAACCACCGCCTTGGCCCTCTGCTCTGGAATGAGAATGTTCTCCGCGAGGGCTGCGCTATGGGCTCAGAACAGGAATGCGCTACCCGATCGAATCCCGTGAGGCCGGAAGCCTGCCACGGCACTGAGGAACCTGTCTGGCGCTTTTCCACGTTCCCACCTCAAATCCTACCGTCTCCCAAACGGCCTAGTGACACATCTTTTTCGTCCTGGGCACAGGCCCTGTCCCCCAGTCCCGATCCTGCACGTCCTTTGACGAATCTCGCCAAGTCATGGGCCTCGGGCACCGTCGCGACAGTGCGTGGAACCGGGCGCTTTCTCCCTGCGGCGGGGACAGGGTGCGGGGTTGCGGGACTGCAGCTCGGCCTCATCGATGGCCCTTGCGAAGCGCTGCAGGGTCGGGGTCCGACGGCCCCGGCGCCGCTCTCCTCGGCGTTGACGGCGTGGCTGCGAGGTGTCCGGGTCCTCTGGGCGGGCGAGCGGGATTCGGCGGGGCCGCGGCGCTAGCTCCGGTGACCGCCCGTGGCCGTCCTTTCCAGCCACCCGGCGGGGGCGTCACCCGCCCCTCCATCCGTAGCCCGCGGGGCCCAGCCCCACCCGGCCCCGCCCGTTCGCAGAACGACCTCCGCTCCCGCCTCCCGCCCTCCCACAGTTGGGCCAAAGCCACAGCCGCTTCCGCCGCTTCCGCCGCTTCCGCCGCTTCCGCCGCTTCCGCCGCCTCCGCCGCTTCCGCCGCCTCCGCCGCTTCCGCCGCCTCCGCCGCACAAAGGCCGGGCCGCTTCACCGCACGCAGAGATCCGTCCGCGGCCTCCCCTTCCCGGCTCGGGCCGCCACCGCCTTCCGGTCCGGGGCCCCGCGCCCCCGCCGCGTCCCCCTCGGGACGCAGGACACAGCGGGGTGGCCCGCTTTCCAGGTGGGCAGCGTCGCGCAGCGCCCCCGCGGACGGACTACTTCGCGTCCCCCGAAGAGGGACTACTTCCGCCCACCCCCGCGGAGGCGGCGCGCGCAGGAGGCGCGCACGGCATGGCGGCGGCGGCGCGCGCCTGAGGTGAGGGGACGCCGGCCAGCTCAGGCCTCGGCGCGGCCTGCACGCCCCGCTCGCTCTCTCCCGCTCCCGCCCCCGCGCCCTGCCATGGCGGAGCCGTCGCCCGCCCGACGCCCGGTGCCCCTCATCGAGTCGGGTAAGCCCGGCCGCGCCGCCCCCGCCGCGGGCCCGTCGCGTCCCCGTCCCCGTCCCCATCCCCATCCCCGTCTCCACCCCATCCCCTCCGTCGGCCTTGACCCGCTTCTCCCCTTCCGCAGAGCTGTACTTCCTCATCGCCCGGTATCTATCGGCCGGCCCGTGCCGCAGAGCCGCCCAGGTGAGTGTCCCCGCGGGCGGGCGGGCGGGCAGGGGTCGGGCGGGCCGCAGCGCTGAGCGCGCGTCTCTCCGCAGGTGCTGGTGCAGGAGCTGGAGCAGTACCAGGTCAGTCCCGCGGCCCCGCGCGTCCCCGGCCCCCGGCCCCCGGCCCCCGGCCCGCGGTCACGCGTGCGTGTCGTGTCTTTCCAGCTGTTGCCGAAGAGGCTGGACTGGGAGGGCAACGAGCACAGCAGGAGCTACGAGGAATTGGTGAGCCCGGACGCGCCCCCGCGCGCCGCCCCTGCCCGCGCCCCTCGGCGAGCACGGTGCCCGGGACCCCCTCCCGCCCCGCCGCCCCCGAGGTTTCGTTTTGTGTGTGTGCTTGTGTTTTTTTTGTTTTGTTTTGTTTTTTTGGTGGCGTCTGGGTGTGTTTTGGCAGGAAACGGCCGGGGGGCGGCGCGGGGCGGAGATGGGGGCGCTGCTGCCGCGGCCGGGGTGGGGCTCCAGGTGCGGCCGCCAGCCACTCGGCGGGGCGCTCTCTTCACCGTCTGCCTCGGCCGCACTTGTAAGCCGCGCTCTGATTGGTCGCCTGGCTTCTAGCCCTCCCAGATCCTCCGACCACTTGTTCCTTAGGAATGAATAGTCGTGGGTCTCTAGGTGGCGAGCGCTGCTCCTGTTCAGCTTTTTTTTCCCCTTCTGATTTTGCTCAGCAGCGTGTTAAAAATGCTGCTGCTGCGTGAATGTGCCACTCCAGGGCTTTGGCTGTGCGACCGTACAGTGTTTGAATGCCTCACGGAGTTGCTTTGCCGACCGTACAGTGTTTGAATGCCTCACGGAGTTGCTTTGCTTTGATGAGTTATTCTCGATCTTGGGCGTGTAACTCACATAGGCTTTAAGTTGGCGAATTAGCTTTACTTGAGCAGTGTTAAAATGGGTTAATTTTCTTTTATGTGTTGTGAGCTTGTTTGTTGCTCTTACCTATAATTCAGTTTATCCACACTTATAACAGTTGCAGCAATTCGTTTGTCCTTAGTGAAATAAGGCATTTTCGCGGAAAGTTGTTTTTGTTTTGTTTTTGCTGCCGGGATCGAACTCAGGACCACGCGATTGCCAGGCAGGCGCTGTGCCACTGAGCTAAATCCCCGGCGCTCGTGGAAAGTATTTTTTCACAACTTAGGAATTCTTTTAACTGCCAGTCACATTCAGCGTCTTGTATAAGGAAAACAGAGAAGGCAGAAGTTCCTCGACGAACTTTTACCCGATTCTAAGACTAGTGGGTGAAAGGTGGTGGAATATTATCATTGTTTTAAATATACGAATCGGGATTTGTCGTTTTTTTTTTTTGAGGCACGGTCTCGCTATTAGTTCAGGCTGGCCTTGAACTCACTGTTTCCATCTCCAGCGATCCTCCTGCCTCAGTCTCCCGAATGTAGGGATTACAGGCTTGTGCCACCAAGCTTGGCTGTCATTTAGTATTAGCGTTTAAGTATTTGTTTAGTTTTACTGTGTGTGGGCCGCAGGGAGTCTAACTCCGCTTCAGGCCTGCTGGTGCTCTACCGCAGACACACCCCAGCCAAGCACATTAAGTTTAAAAGTAACAGGGAGAGTTAATATGTGCCTTGGTGTTTTTAAAAAAGTATACATGAGGGCCGGGGATTTAGCTCAGTGGTGCAGCCGCCTGCCTTCCAAGCACAAGGTCCTGAGTTTGATCCCGGTACCAAAAAAAAAAAAAAGAAAAGTAAACAATATTTTCAGGAGCTTGAGTTCTAAAAATGGTGCATCGTGTTCATTTTAAGTCTGGTATTTTGAGATGCTGCTTTGGGGGGAGCAACCCTGGGAATAGAACCTAGAGGTCTCCCAGTAATAGGGAGTGTTGTACCGCTCCGCCATTGAGCTGCACTCCAGGCAAATACCACTGTACGATGGAGCACCTTCAGCCCAAGACTTTTTTTTTTCCTTAAAATATTAAGGCAACATTTAAAGGCCGTACTTTTATTCTTGTTCGTAATATAAAATAGTTTTATGGACCAGGCAGGGAAGTGTTGCTGAGGAGAAAATACCTTAACTTTTAATGAAAAAAAAGAATGAAAAACATAGGAAAAAGAAAAAAGGAAAATAACTTGAAACAACTGTGGTGGGGCCGGGGATTTAGCTCAGTGGTTCTGGTGTCTGCTTTGAAAGCGCAAGGTCCCGAGTTTGATCCCTGGTACCAAAAAAAAAAAGACATTAATGAAACAACTATGGTGTTATAACTGCTGGAAAGTTACCAAGTTACCTGTGAAATAAGTTTGAAAAGGAACATAAATGTTTTGGCTTTTGCTACTGGAATTGCTTGACACCCTCCCCAAAATATTCTGTTGAAAGTGATTGAAGTTCTCTGTCAGGTTTGACAGTTTGGGATGACGGATGTTACCTTTGTCTAGCTGAGGGGTGTTGTCTCTTCCTGGACTTCCTGCTACCTCCAGCCAGCCCATGCTTGCAGATGAGCCCTAGACAGAATGGCTCAGGGGCACATGGCTTCCAGACCTCAAACTGAGCCTCTTTTTTACAGTAATATATTAAGAAAAGAAGCACAACAAGTGTAATTTGTTGCACTTGCTGTATTTGATTTCAGCCTCAGCCTCCGAGTGCTGACATTAGAGGCATGCGCTGTCACGCCTGGTCTGGGCTTGAATTTGTGACCCTCCTGCCTCAGCCTTCCCAGAGTGCTGAGATTACAGGTGTGTGCCCCCATGACTGGTTTACTTGAGGTATTTAAATTATAAACTATCTGAAATTTTCAAACAGAAAATTGGAACATGAACCACCAGCTACCTGTTATTTAGCCTTAACAGTTAATCAAAGCATAGTGCATCTGTTACCTTTCCCCTAGTGTGTTATGAAGCAAGTTCCACGTAGCTGTTCACTTCATTGGTTAATATGCTTTTGTTTTGCTTTGTTTTGTGGTGGTACTGGGGATTGAATCCGGGGCTTCTCACTGAGCTATATCCAAAGCTCTTTAAATTTTGAAAGAGGGTCTCAACACATTGCCTAGGCTGGCCCTGAATTTGTGATCTTTCTTCTTTATCCTGCCAAGTAGCTGGGATTACAGAAATGTGCCACTGTGCCTGGCTTAGGCTGGCTCGCTCCCTTCCTTCCCCCCCGTCCCCCCTTCCCCCCTTCCCTCCTTCCCCCCTTCCCTCCTTCCTTCCTTTTTTAAAATTTTGAGAGGAGATGTCACCATGTAGCCTAGGCTGGCTTAGAACTCAAAATTTTCTCCTGCATGAGACTCTTCAGTGCTGGAAGTAAGGGAATGGGCTACCATGTCCAGTTCGTGTTGGAATATTTTAACGCAAATTCCAAACATTGTGTCCACTTCTTAATTCTTTACACTGCAGTTCTAGAAAGGAGGGTTTTTGCTGGGCATGTCCAAGGCTCTAGAACTGGGGGAGAGGAAAGACCATTTCTTAACCCACTGAGTGCATGTTTCAGAGTTCATATTTAGATTTTCTTGTTCTCCGAATGTCTTTTTACATTTAGAAACAGGGTCTCGCTAAGTTGTCCAGGCTGAGCTTGAATTTGTGATCTTCCAGCCTTGTCGTCCCAGGGTTCTGAGACTGGAGCCATATTAAATCTTTTCATCTATCTCTCTGTCTATGGCAGTATTAGGAACTGAGCCTAGGGCCTCACACATAATTGACACTATTGCTCTACTATTGCTCTATTATTGAACTACATCCCTATCCCTTTTAAAATTTTTTATCTTGATACAAGGTCTTGACCAGTTGCTCAGGCTGGCCTTCAATTTGTGATCCTCCTGCCTTAGGAGTAGCCTGAATTGTTGGGATGCACCATCACCAGGTTCTTTTTATCTTAATTTTTTTCTTTTCTTGACACTGATTTATTGAAGAGACATTGGTCATATTTTGGATTTGTCTGATTGTTTTTCATTGTTAACTGCTCCTTTTTCTCAGAGGTTCTCATTTTTTGGTTAGAATCCCCCAGGGAGCTTTATGTGCTCTAGGTGCCACTGTCTTTGTGGGGGACTGGGCAGCAGTATTTCAGTAAAGCTTTTCAGGCGCTTCTAGCAGAATTGTGTACAGAACCACAGTTTATCTTAGGTTTATGACCATACTCTTTCTCCAACCTGTATTTGGGAGCAACCTATATTTGGTACTTAGGCTTCTAGGAGAATTGAAAGTAGGAACCTCTTAATACCTAACCCTGCATTAATGCATGGTGTTTGTTGAAACATTCATGATATGTAACAAGTGAAGAGAGAGGAAGGAATAGAACTATTCTGCCAGGCATATGAGGATTTGTAAAGAGTAGGTTTGTAAAGGAGGAGGTTATTAGAAAAAGGGAAGGAGCCCCCCTCACCCCAGGGAGGTGGGGATTGAGGTTCTTTTCCCCCATATATATATATTTTTTAGTGCGTAATAAGAGATTTAGAGCTTTGAGCTACATGATTTGTTCTTATAGGCCAGTCTCTTACTTAGCTAAAAAAAGAAAACAGCCAACAAAGAAAACAAAAAGAAGCAGATCATCTTTACATTGTAGTGTATCATTGGAGGATTCATTGTCATTAAGATTTTTTTGAGTAATTGAGTTGGACTTTTGTGTGAGGAATAGATTTAGAAAAGTTACTTGTGCTGGATGTGGTGCTGTACATCTGTAATCCCAGCACTTGGGAGGCCGAGGCAGGAGGATCTATGCAAATTTGAGGCCAGCCTAAGCTATATATTCAAGTTCAGCCTGAACTACATTGTGAAACCCCGTCTCAAAAAATACAAAACAAAATCACATCCCCTGGTGTCTTGTTGGTGCTTGAGATGCTTTTTGAAGTTATATGGAAAAATGTTTAAGTGCTTTTCAGTTTTGTTTTGGTTGAATTCTACTGTATTTGAATATTATTGTAGTTTTTTACCCCTTGCATTGTTCTTCTTTGAATGGTTTTAATTTTCCATGTGAGCGTGTGTGTGTGTGTGTGTGTGAAAACAAAACAAAGATGAGTTACTTGTGTTGAAGTCAGTGTTTAGCTTATTAGAGTTGTCATTTCTCTTAAACCTTCAATTAGAAATTTTATTTTACAAAAGTACAGTAGAGAAGCAGGTGTCGCTTTTTAAATTTGTAACTAAGATCTTAAAATGTATAATTCCTCTTACACACTTAATCTTACACATAGATACTAAACCAAATTGAAGTAAACTTAAGACAAATCTAAGTGTGTTTTTTTCTGAGGATTTAACTCCTGTAAATATAATATTTCAAATTTATTGTAAATTTTTTAC